CTGTGCCCGCCGAATTCGCGGTAGATATGCCCGCCGAGTTTGCAGTAGATATGCTCGCCGAATGATGGCCCGAATGACATGGCTGAACCAGATTTTGATGAAGCATCGAGATGCCGATGGAACATCTCTATACAAGTTCTTCCCTCTCTGATGTTGATGCCTATGCCTTGCCTTGTGATGAACATTTATTATGTAGCAGCACCGAGGGGTGGGGGAGGTGCGACAGGAGAGTTTGTTGGTTTCATTACCGTACCTGGCATGCTGCAAGGCTTTGCTGCTTCAAACATTGGCGCGAATATGCCTGGTATTAACACGCGCTCAAGTGGGGGTCAAGTTGAGCCCCCCCCCCCCTCCCGAAGGTTTTCCGGAATGGTTTCCGAACAGAGCGGCGCAGCCGCGTCACATTTTGCGCAGCTGTAGACAATGAAATAGCGGATCGTCTGGCATTACAATGGCAGGTCAAAGTCAGGCCATGGTTTCAGCAAAACCAATTTTTAGGGGATCGTTCATTCTGATCCAACAACGGAGTGTTAGACGAAGCCATACATCTCTGAGATACTTTTTTAGGCAACACAACAATTGAATGAACAAATAACATTAACCTAGGATCAGGTATGAAGGTCAGCCCAAAGTCAAACCCACCTGTTTTATTACGCTAGGGCTTGCTGTATGGGGTAGTTTCTGGTGCTCATTTCAAATTTGTTGACAACAGGAACCGCACTACACAACTTTCATGGACTTCTTTAAGGTCAGGATAGGTCACTGACCTAAAATGATCCAGGTCAACATTTTGTCTTCAGGCACGTGCTGCCTAGCGTAATCTTTGTCGCTTATTCAAATGCAAAATTCAAAACAGTCTTGCCTGGTTTTGGTCCCCATGACCTCCAAAGGATCAAGCAAAGTCACTCACATTAAATGAGCATCAGACCTTTTGCTTACAGCAGTTATCTAGGTTATAGAGGCTCTTGGGAGACCAACCCGGCATTTGACATTGCTTGACCTTATTTGACCCAAAGGTCATGACCTAGAAGCCTTAAAATTTGACCTAGGTGAGTTCACGTACAGATCAACACACCCTGTAAATTTGGTGTATCTAGATTTCCTAGTTCCCGAAATCTCGGGGGGGGGGGGGGTCAAATTGACCCTTCCACCGAGCGAAGCGTATATAGCCGGCCACCCGGGCGCATGCTAGAGAAGGCTACGCAGACGTGACGTCACCATGGGACTAAAGTTTAGTAGCCCTTAGTATAGTCTTTGGTTGACACTAGAGCTAGACATCTCGGGATCTCAGGACACCCCATCCGAGCGAAGGGTATCGAGCCGGCCACTCGGCCGCGTGTTAAAGGGACGTGTTTGTGTTCAATTTGACTTTGGTGCTAACGTCGTGTTCTTTCCGCCTCAGTGAAAGATGCTAACATTACTTATCACCTTGCTGTAGGAAATTAGTGGACAAACACAAAGGAAAATTCACTCTTTGTTTCCCCCTCTACACACGCGTTCAGTCCTGCCACCGCTAGAACTGCAACCAACGTTGGCCAAGCAAGCTGGTTGCATCCAAATTACTCGCACCAGCACTGTGTCGGCTGCCAGTCTGACAGCGGGGGTGCACAGCGCCAGTGTCTAATGACACCCAGGAGCTGCTGCCTGCTCGCTGTCCCCCGTCAACTCACAGCTGAAGCACCCCCACCTGCCTCCCCTCCCCCTCCGGTCCGGGTCGGAGGCACGTGACGCCGCCGCGGCGATATCTGCTGACCCGTGGCGCCGGTTACCTCTGGCCGTCGTCGTCGGTGCCACGAGCGCGCCGCCCGATACTTCCGCCGCGCTCCGCCGCCGGGCAGCGGTCAGCGGCCCAGCGGCTGACGAGGCGCCAGCAACGCCGCCGCCACCCGCGGCCCGCGTCAGAAGCGCCAACAACGCATCCGCTACCCGCGGCCCGTGTCGCAAGCGATCGGCCAGGTCGGATGCTGCAGCGGTGGGAGGTGCCGTGAGTGGGCAATGCAGTGATGCAGGTGTACCAATGGCCACACCAAGCATTCTTAAAATCAGCAAAGGTTTGGCAGTCCTCTCCATCGAGTGGCGCTCGCTCCGGGGACTCGGGTACACAGACTTGTTTCACGATTCTCCGCGATGGAAGAGGGCAGAGAGCGCAAGGGCGTATTTTTGCCGCTTCAAAAAAGTTTGGAACGCCCCTTTTGCCCAATCTGTCCGTCCCGGTGGCTCAGTTGGTTAGAGCGCCTGCCTCCCGATTCACCCACCCGTGGCGGGGTGGGTTCGAGTCGCTTTAGGCGCTCGCTATTTGCCCTTGACAGGTATGGCCTGCGGCCGGTGGCAGCGGTCGCACTAAAGGTCAGTTGACGTCAGAGGGCAGGACGGACCGTGCCGAGCATTGCGGCACGTTAAGCTTTCGCCACTAAATTCTGCCGTTGCTTGGAATTGCGCGATCGGATGGTAGGGGTCAGAGCTCACACAACAAGCACTGCTTAGCGTGAGCGCTGATCCCAGAAATCCATCCATTCAAAGGGTTCGGATCAAATTTCTAAAAAAAAAACAAAAAAAACTATAGTCTTTGCAGCTCATCTGGACCGCCAAAATTCAGATCAAGGAGGCGGCCACCATAACTGAGCTTGAGGGTGCTAAGCTGGGTTCAGGAAAGCATTTTCTGCATGAGAGACATGTTTCTGGACAGTGAGACCGCCTTTGTTAATTAGGTAGCTCATGCTCTGCAACAGGATGCCCAATTTTGTGTCACGGAGGCCCTTCGCTGACTTGGGAGGCCCCGTTACGAACTAAGAGACCACTGCTCTGGGCGAGGAGGCAACTTTTACATGTCAAAACAGCCATTTTTGGAACGGGGGGCCACCGTCATGTGATCAGATGCCCGCAGTTCCGGATCAGGATGCCCGGTTTTGGAAGGACGAGTTTTTTTCTACAATTGTATTGTAGTCTCCATGGGGTATATGAGGAAAACTTGAGCATTTGTTCTGAGGTCGAACATTACATAAAGGCAATCATACTTGTGCATCTTCCTTTAGCCATTGCATAACAGAATCCCGTTTGGTAGGCATGATCTTTCAAAAGATGGTGTATTTCGGATGCCGTACTATTTCACATTTTTTACGTAAACGTTTTGACATGAAACGGTTACAATTATTAGCGGTGCTCAGCCGGCTACGGCAGGCTCTAACGCGGCAGGCTCTAATGCCTGTTACTTAATCTTAACACCGCTCATACCTCACTGCAGACATCGCTGAGGTGCTCCTTTGTCCTAGCAGCGTTCTAGTCGTGGTCAGGTGGAACAGCTGGCTTCCCGTAGCTGGACGGCACCATGACCCAGCTTCCATGCTGTGTCGCAGCGATTCGGGATCGTGACGGGACCTTCAGCGAGCAACATTGAAGCTGTTCATTTGAGATATGGATGTAGCGCGTCACCTGACGGTCATGTGGGGCCCGGAGTGCGGGTAGCCTTGGCCTTATAAATTTTATCCGTATTGGGCTGAAGATCGAGCCCTGCATGGGACAAACCAAACTAGCCCCTACAAATTTGAACGCTTATGCGTGAAAAAGGCTTTGGTCTTATCCTGAAAGATGCATGCATCTACAGACACAATAGCTAACTTTTAATTCAAGCTATGGAGCCTGACGAAATGAAAATGGGGGAGGGGGGGGGGCACGGAAATGGAAACCCTTCTCCTCGCGCCCCTCGCCTTACTGGCGCAGGCTTCGTCGAGCGGGTTATAAAGCCGTGCCGCCCACCCGCTGATCGGAACTTGCAGGAATGATAACGCTTTTGTTTGGGTTTAGTTACGCAACTTCAGCGTTCAGTCAAATATTACATTCGTTTCATTGCCGTTTCTTTTTCGTTTGTCCGCGCGCGGTTGAACAAACCACTGGGCTTGTTTGGGCTTAAACCGAGGAACCAAGTCCCTTCCGCCTGAATTCCAGTGCGATTTCTGGGTTGACCCTATATCTCGCCGGCAGACGCTCGTCTATTCTACCTTCACAACCCTAAAGGTTTTACGTAAAGTGGCATAAAGTGTTGTTAAAGTGGCATAAAGTGTATAAGGTTTGGTTCATATGTTGCGTTACGCACCAATTGGCACGCGGTTTGGTTCATATGTTGCGTTACACACCAATTGGCACGCGGTTTGGTCCAATGCTTTGTCCTCACTTTTCTCAGCGTAGAGACCTTAAAGTGTAGATTCCAAGATTGTTCCATCTTGCGTGTAGCATGATGCGAGCAGTATGCGCCAAAGTCTCCCTACCGCCAGGGGAGATTTCCAGCCATCCGCCGCAGGAGAATAAGGTGACCTGTAGCGATGGCCACAGCCTACGAGCAGCTCATCGGTTCCAACGCCTGGGCACCGAGCGGCAATGTGTTGTGTCTCGCCTTTTCTGGGATTGCTGACGTCATAGTCTCATTCAGACCCTCGCGTATTGGAACGCAAGCACACGGGACGAGCTGGATAACTGATACACTCGTACCTAGATCATGAGGTGCGTCTGGTTCACGACGCCAAACGCCGACACCAAATTTTCTTCCCCAAATTTTCTAGCTTCGGTGCGCCTGTTTGTGTCGAGGACTGTGGGAGTCAGAACAATGTGATGTTCACCAGTATAGGAATAAATCAGTTTGCCCAAAATTGATGGGCGGTTGACATACGATTGGATTTGACACAAAGATACAAGTTTGACACAAGTCCAGTCCCACCGTTTTGGAGTAACAGCAAAATTTACATCTTGGGGTTACTGTAATTTGTGTTTTGGCTCACGAACACTGAATCTGTGAAAGTTTCCACAAGTTTCCACGGAGGGGAGGGGGGGGGGGTGGGGGAGGGCCGTAGGTGACAGAGGACGTCAGATCCGGCGGCGGGCTGACGTTGGAGGCTGCAGCGCTGACACGTGCGCGGTCGCTGACCTGGGCGTCCCCTGCGCCCGTCGCACCCATCCGGCGGCCACCCGATGACAGGGCTGCCGGCCGGGCGCGGCCACAGACGGCTGCCGGCGCCGACGTCTCTCACACCACCATGGCCGGAGGCTGGCTGCTGGTGATCGTGGTGGTCGCTGCCTGCGCGCCAGCGCGCGCCGCCATCGCCTGCCAGGGCTTCAGAAAGAACTTCTGCAACATCGGCTGCGGCTTCCAGACGGTGCAGGAGATGTGCTGTCGTTGCCATGGCGAATGCTGTCCTCCGCCGGCGGATCACGCTATCGCCGCAAAACTCAGTCTGGCGCCAGGTGAGGGGGACAAGGTGGACACACGAGTGCAGAGTGTGGACGTACGGACTGTCGGGCCAGCTCACGGCTCCTCAGCTCCCGGTCACCCACCTGCCATTCCCCAGATGTCTGGGGGGTTTGCTTCTCCGATGTTGTGGACTGGTACGGAAAACCTGAAGAAGAAGAATAGGCGTTGTTTACAAATAATGGATTTAGCGTCATATTGCCCACCCACTCCCTTTTTTGGTCTCCTCGCAATATGAGGAGTGGCTTAATCTTCCTGAAACCGTTGGCGGATGAATAATTGATGACCGCGAAAACTGGTGATAACTTTAACACCGCGTCACGACAATTTTCCTGACTTACTGGCACAATCCAACCGTCTTCATTTTCAATCTAGAACGGTCTGTCTCTGCCATGTGAGCTCAGGGCGGCCCGAGCACTGCCCTGGGCAACATGGTCTTCCAGGCGGTCACTTCTCCAGGGGCGGTGGTCTCGTCTGTTAAAGCCGCTGCCGGGGTGAAAGTGAGTTTTGAGGCGTCTCGGCCTCCAGTGGCTTAGAACAACAAGCCGCGCTGAGTGGTGTCACATTTTACAATGACGCATTTCACCGCCAAGCCTCCGAGATCGATGACTCCCACCCACCGCCTCCTGCGAAAACCAAACCTGATGGATCAAACCTTCATAGGACTCCACTATCTGACTGAATCATTGGCACACGTTGATGTCTGCCAAAATCTGTCAAAAAATGCTAAGCGCATAGTTTGCGAGGAAGCAGCTTTTAGCTATCCCGCAAGATACGCTGGACGGTAGTAAACTAAATCCGAGTCGGTTGCGGTACTTTGTCCTTAGTGGCCACTGACCTGCACTGCTGAATAACCCTTCATGCGTCTAAGCATTCTGAGCGCGAATATTGCGACATACTAGCCGATAATTGGGAGAATTAACCAATCCAGCGATCGCGCTCAACGGCACCAGTCAGTTGCGCACAGAAACCGATATGGGCGCCAGCACAATGGCGTGCTATTGCCTCAGTTGAAATGTTTTCGTCATGTTTATCTTCGACCTCCGCTGCCAAATATCCATCGCTGCGCCAGACGAGTCACCGCACGTGGGATCACCGACCACCGAGATCTGATATTAATCATTAAAAACGCTCCGAAACGGTCGAGTTTGTTCTTCGTGCACGAGCGCGCTACACCCACAACGCGCATGAATTCGCGCTTGTGCATGCGATATTTCCCTTTCTTTTCCGAGCCGAGATGTGGTGATTGCCTTCCGCTGTGACGCCGGGGTGTCGAGCTATGCACGCAGTTCTGGCACTCATTTCGGCCAGTTTTATTAGATATTTAATTTGTTGATTTCATTCGATTTCGGAATGGATCGATTTTAAAATTTTGCGTTTCCATGTTAAACTAAACGGGCACGTTTACAAGTGCCACACGCGTCACGTGCCCGACGGCAGAGTCATATTTTACAAGGACGCATTGTGCCACCGCACCCGCCAGGTCACTGACCTTTCAAAACCGCAAAAAGCATTTAACTCTTCACTATGGGTGTTGCAGATCATTACAGCGTGAAAGAAAAATGCGTTTGTAACATAAATTACGGAAGAGCGCCAGGTAAGTCAATGTTAAATTTAAATATGGATGATCGCCTTTTTGGGTGAAGCACATTTCCCTACCTGTTGGTCCAAAACGAAGCATTTATTTGGCCTCAAAATTTGAACCAAATGCTCAATCCAAGGCAGTGTTCCATCTGCAGTGTGTGACACCGAAGGAAAAAGTGATAAGAAGTAGAAGATCAAAAATTGTGCTACCCACACAATTTTTGCATGATTATCATTGATAATCCTTAATTTTGTGCTAGCCGTGCACCATATTTACGTCGCAACATAATGATACATATGCCCATTTATGCCCATTAAAAAAGGAAAGCAGGATAAAAGAAAAAGGCTAGAAAGCTAGAGAAAGTTAGGTTTAACGGAAGATGAGCTAGAGGGAAGTTAAGAAAGAAACGGCAACGAACGGAATCCAACGGAAACAAACGGTTCCTAAAGGGAGTAACGGCCAGGCCGGTCCGCACAAACTGAAAATTCTGTCATAATCCAAATGACATTCACAAGGTTTGCCGCCTGACTCGTCAATCAGAAGCCCGTTATTCACCAAGGCACCACGATCAACTGATCCAAAAGTTGTGGTCTAAGATGAGAGCGGGTAGTAATTCGCGGTGACGTGAACAGAGGTTGTTAAATATTTTAATAGTTGCTTGTTGTGTTTCGTTTTCTTAAATCTCGTTCGCTTCTTGTCCTTTTCTGCGTGCCGTAACTTCCCTGTTTCCTAATGAGGGAAACTTTCCCTGTTTCCCATCGTTTACATTAGAGCTCAGGGCTGTCTGAGTTAATTACACAGAAGTAACATGCAGAGCACATTTCATTTTTTCTTGATTGTATCATTCCATACCTTGGTTTCACGCAACCCAGGTGAGACTTGATTTGTGTCAAGATCGTCTTGACTTTAAGTCTTGAAAGTATTGAAATACTTCTTTCAGAAAACGGGCTTTGCAAATGCCCTTCAATGAAAAGGACAACGGTCCACCATAGCACTCGAAGCTTGGCGTCACAACTGAGGTTTTTCATGAAGCAAAGGCATTACTAAACAGCCCAGAATGCACCTCACTGATGTTTACGCTCCTCAGTGAGAATAGTAGTCAACTGTCAGAGAGTCTTGGTAACAACCACCTCCACCACTGATATACCAGACTCTTGACTTTTGACACACAAGCCACGTACATACTGCATGCTTGCACCCGACTGGGTTGATGAGGGCTTCCTACCATTCATACATATTTGTCACGAGTTATAAGAAGCGGGTCATGAACGGCCATCGTCCTTGGGACTGCCACCGTAACAAAATGGTCATGCTGTTTTTCTTTTCCCCTTTCCATCCAGCCCGCCCTCGTTGAGCACTTTCCGGTTCTGGGTGCCCGTAGACGCAACTGGCATCGTCCTGAATGTCATCTCTTCCATTCAACTACTTTGCTCTTTTAACTACTTTGCTGGACAGAGAAACACACCTCGTAGGGGCGGCGTGTTTTTTTGGGTCGGTTGTGAATGAAGCATGCACTACGCGTCATGCGTTGCTTTGTTTGATCGAAGGCAATCCACGGGGAGAGCGATGACACAGCACGTCATTTTAGGCCATTTGATTACAGCACGCAGGCCGTTTCATTACAGCACGGCGTAATAAAACGGCCTGCGTTGTGCGACCGTCGCACTCCCTCGTGTCGCTTCTAGTGCTAACCACTGCAAGGCAACGTCGCTTTGCCCATGTTCTACAGCCAGCGATTTTCTCTTTTCATCGACCACCTTCTAGCGCTGTGAGGGCTGACCGCCAAGCGCGATAGTTCGCTCAGCGGCGCCTTGGTTCGCTCTGGTCTAGTGACGTTCGTCGTTCATGCGGGAGTCGGGTCCTGGCCTCGCGGGGGCAGGCCGCTTCGGGCCGCAGCAAACTTCGCATTAGCGAGTATTGACGCCGCAGCGTGGGTTCGCCAAGCCGGCCCGTGCGGGTGGCTCGACCGTCACCACGGAGTCAGAACATCGCTGACAAGGAAAACATCGCACAGCTGCGATATTCACCAGAGCTCTCTGGTGCTGGTGCATCCTCCTCAGCTGCAAGGAATGGTGCACGTTGGGCCCCACCGGCGCAGCACGCTCGTTTCTCACAGCGCCCATTGGGTGTCGTTTCGACTCTGCACCGTGAGACATTTCTTCAAATATTTGTTTTACCACTGGAAGCTGGTGCATCACGCAATGGAGCAGTCGGAACAAGTCCCCGTTACACAAGTGGCATTGTTGTCACCTCGTTGCATCGGTTAGAGAGGGAAGCAGATTTGTAGGTCACAGGTTGGCTACCCATTCTGGGATTTATAATATGATATTTGTTTTCGCGAGCCCATCTCCTTGAGGTAATGTGCATCACAACTACGACAGTGTCTTCATAAATTTAATTAATGTTTTTGGATACGGTGATGCGCTGAAAATCGTGGACCCAGAAAGCCGCAACTAAAAGCTGGCATATTGTAAGCACATTCCAATCCTTATCTCCCGTCACTGTTTACAAGACAGAAAAAGAAGTTAGGTGCCACCCTATTTTAAAAGAGAGATGCATATGTGTCAAAGGTGCAACGCGCTGACTGCCCCCCCCCCCCCCCCCCCCAGCAGGTCCTCCAACATACGACGGTAGTTGTACGGATAACACCGGCGCGTCACGACCGGCCGGCTCACACTGGTACGACAACAACGACCACCCGTGCCGCAAGTTCACCTGCGCACGCGGTGTGGTAGTGACCCTGTTCGACCACAGGGACAGGTGTCGGACGGACAGTCCGCACTGTCCGTACACCTGGCCGGCCGGCAAGTGCTGCCGCGTCTACCACTGCCCGACGACAACCCCGCCGCCGCCGACGCCGCCGGTGGTCGGCCGTCCCTGCTACGACGAGCTCAACCAGCTACACGGCGACGGGGAGGAGTGGACCAGCCCCGGCCAGCCGTGCGTGCAGTACCGCTGCGAGAACGGCCTGGTGGTGACCTCAGCTGTCGGCTGCCCGCTGCTGCCGCCCGGCTGCGTGGCCGGCGCTGTGCCGCCCGGCGAGTGCTGCCCCAGCGTCAGTTGCACCCCGCCCTCCACAGGCTGCACGTACGGCGGCAACACGTACACCACCGGCCAGCACTTCCCGGACGACCCGCTGCACCCGTGCCAGCAGAAGGTGTGCGATCACGGCTTGGTGGTGTCTCTGGGCGCACCCCAGCACTGCGCGGAGCCGGCCTGCGCTAACCCCATCTGGCCCGTCGGCGACTGCTGCAGGAGCTGTCCACCAGGTCAGTAGTGGGCTGGTCACGTACAAGCCGGTCAACGCAAGGCTGCTGTCATGCATGCAGCTCAGCAACAGGCTGATGCTGTGCAAACAGGTCACCAGAGCGCTGGTGATGCATTTGCTGGCTACCAGCGGGTTGATGTACATACAGGTCATCAGAGGTGGCTGGCGTGGTACATAGGACGCATGAGGAGACTGGTGCGGCACATGTGGGGCGTCAGAGAGATGCTGTTATGTCAATAGGTCCTAAGCTTCCAAAAAGAGTGATCAACGAAACGGCACGCCCGTCGACGCTACACAGTTAGATTTACGCCTCCACCAGCTCTGGCTGCCAGGATGTGGAATAAAGCGTGAAAAATGGTCAAAAACGAAAAAATCCGTCTTCACAGCTGTCTTAAAAATCGCTGTATGCGTGCAACATGACACGTGCAGCTTCCCACGTGACATCACGCGGTGTTCTGCTCAGTTCTCTGTCAAAGCGGGTTAATTTGGCGTCGGCACGTCGCCTCGAGCGCACATACACGGAGTCAAACTTGCATTTTAAGTAATCCACCGTAAGCCTGCACAAGGCCCAGGACGCAAAAGACGGGAGACATACAGACTGACAGACTCACCATCTTCAAATAAAAGTTGGATCTCGTCAAGCTGGTGCTCTCCGGGTTCATTTCGTGGTGGTTTCGTGGTTTGCTTGCACAGGCGGGTTGGGAGGCCGTCACACGCCTGGCAGGGCTGTATGTGCTAACCTCCAATGGATACACAGATCCAGAGCTTTGGTCGTTTACAGGTCAATGCTATTTCGGTCATTTCCCATTGCGCATGTCATCACATCACATTCATTGTATTGTGTTTCGATTTGTGCACGGATCACCAACAACCAAAAGTGTGCAGCCTGCAGTGCAGCCCGATAGTCATGCTGAAGGAGCGCTCCGGCAGGAGCGCCGGGCATGTCCGTCAGGCCGCTCCGCCTCCGACGCACAACGCACGACTCATGTCGCTGGCCCCTGAGGGCTCAGTCCGCCGCCACCACATGAGAGTGCGCGCGACTCCGCAGGTTCCGGTACGTCCAACCTGGATAAGCTGAAGAACGCAGTGCAGCAGCTGGCACAGCATTTGGGACTGGGACAGGCGCAGCTGGACCAGCTGGAGGGCAGCCTCCACCAGCTGGTCAACAGCCTGGGCGGCCTCATACAGGGCACTGGCGGCACCACCATCGAGTCCTTGTTGAAAAACATCATCTACTTGCTGAACATCCTGGGCGTGCCCAGCCCGGGTGAGTGTCAGGCCATAGGAAATACACCGATTTGTTGCCGACCTGTCACCGGCCTGGCCACCAACCAAAAATCACAGGATGGTTTTGTCGCCGGGCTGGAATGAAACCTAGAAAAGATACCGTGGTGCCATAGAGTACGGTAAAGAGTTTTTACGGAAACATTTGCTGATGTTGTGTGACGAAATGTATTACCATGCAGACGTAATGTCAAGGTATGGAGACCTCGTGTTGTGTTTTGCTTAATGTGCTGTATCATTTCGTCTTAGCCGTCCCCAAAATGTGCTAAGAACATTTTTGGCACCAAGCTTCGCGTGAGTATATACATTTTTGTCGCCGACCGTATCCACCAAGTCGACAGGTTTTACCACCCATGGTGAGTGTGCTGCGCTCCTGCGGCTCTGCGGAGCGGAGGTCAGTGCTCGTCGGCTGAGAGTTCCCACTCGATCCACCTCTATTCGTCATCCATCGATCGTCCCTCGTTATGCCCGATGGAACATGACTTGCCTCGCACGGGAGAAGGCGATACCACAGGGCCCACGGCCTCGTGCTCATCACTGCAACAGCAAATGCTGCGGATCTAAACTCAGAGCAGCTGGCTTCGAGTGAGCCCCGTGCCGAGCAAAGCAGGCCAAATCGCAGTTACCAAACAACGGACGGCGGCCTTCCTCCGTTCCTCCATCGTGCGCCACAGCCTTCCTCCGGTATCCAGTTCACGCAGCAGCCCCTTTGGACGCTCCATGCGCTCCAGCATGACCATCTCACATTGCTGGACGTTTAGGTGCAAGTTGTGACGGACTGGCAGGATATTTTATTCCAAACCGTACTTCTTCTTGTTGATGATCGCAAAATGTGTGTATGGATGGATCTGTTTACGGCTGAGAAGCGTTCGACTAAAACATTTTATCCGCGCCTACACACGTGCCCGAAATTTCCCCAAAATATGTTCCCAACCCGGCTCAATTCCCTACAGATACCCACGGTACCCAACTCATCCGTACTGGCCCCTGCGCTACGGCCACCAAAAGCCACACCACGACCATCCGGACCTTGCACTGTCCTTGAGATGGCTGCGCGGGCTTCAGCACTCGCTGCGTCCTCGGAAACGATCACCGTTCGCCGAAACATGGCACAGACGGAAGACGCCATTTTCGTGCAGGTCGCGGTCTCACCATCAAACCATTCCGCAGCCTCCATGTCAACGGTGCTGGGATAGCCAAAGCACACAGCATATGCAACCTGTTACCTTCCCCGCCGCACATTTTCGGTGCCAATTTCAGGCGCACCTGCGGTAATTGGTGTAGTTTACCGACCCAAACTGCGATGCACGCTGGCATGACTTGCTGGTTACATTTCATAGTCATGGCTGTAGTCATTCAGTGGAATACTTCCATGCGGCGATGAAAACGAGTTCAGTCAATGTGGTTACATAGTGCTGTAAAATCCAGGGCAAAGGATCATGAAATCAAACAGCAAAAGCAAGAAGCACGTGCTAATTAAAACGCTCCCTATACGTACATCTACCACAATGGAACCATCCCAAGTGGTCATGACGCCCTGAAGTCGTGCAAAAGTAGAGCAGTGGCGTCTCCTACAGGGCATGCCAGCGGCGATCTCAACGTGCTGCTGCATCAGCTGCAGTATCAGCTGGTGGCCCTGGTGGACCAGCTCGGCTCATCTCTCACCGCCGACCAGATTACCAACGCCAAAATCAAAATCAGCGAGCTCATCGAGTGGTTGCGCTCCTACGACAGCAGCAACCCTACCGCCAGCGCCGGCACACTGCTGGCCGATCTCACCGCGCTGTTCACTGGTCTACTCCCAGAGGCTGGTGAGCTCTCCACCAAAGGCACAGGTCGTGTCTTTGCATTTGCCTTTACAAAAGCATCAACACAGCGGTTTCTTCAAGTTCTCCGGACTTCGGAGATGGCGACTAGCCTCCTCAGAAGACTGCACCAAAACTTAGTGTGCTTCAGAAACTGGACTTGTTTGTACCTGATATGCAAACCTCAGCTTCTCACCACACCAGATGATCGGGCCTCCTACTCAATGTCACCGATCTACGCCATACAAACGTGGATAACACCACTGTGCTGTTCGACTCACGTTTGTCGCTAAGCGCTACTTTGCGTTTTGGATAGTGAAGCATTTGTCGAGCAGCTATTACGAGCAAGCCCGCAACTCGACAGTTTTGCGTGAACTACGGATGATATTGAACTTGAGGTCACGCCTGATAGTCATGTTGCCACTTCTACACTTGGGTCCACTGTTTTCAGTGACAAGGGCCGTGGTTAGCTGAAAGTCGTGCAACGTATCTTTGTAGCATTCATGTACAGATTGTGGAATGAACCAAAATTCCCCCGCAGCATAGCAACACTGCTAGGTTTCAGTTCCATTCAACTGGAAAATAAAAATACGGATCTTGCAAAAAGACTAAATAAGGCGGCTAAACACCGGATGATGATGATGATGATGATGATGATGATGATGAAGATGATGTCTCAGCAGTATGGCATCACAGTGGCATGAGACCGACTCCTTCCAAGGAGAATGAAAAGGAGAACCGTAATGGCAAAAGTTGGTGTCTATATGCTTAAACAAGAGAGTGCTATTGTGCACAGGCTATGAACCAGCCCACTATGGGACGTTTTTAAGGAAAGTGTTCGCCATTTGTATGCAGTTTAAACTGAAATGGCAATTCTGAAGATTATACGGCGCAGTTCACAGCCCTGCCCTTCTTAAGACCTGAGCCGTTCTAGGCTCTGAGCTACACGCCGGCGGAGGTGTGCTACCTCGGGAGACTTTTTCAAAGCCACGCAAGCATCCATGACGTCATAAAAACGCAATTCAGATCCTGCCATTCCATTAGCCATGCGGCGGCCAAGGACAAAGAAAATATACTTGTGGAAACGTTCATATCTGGCGTTCATGAGCACAATTCCCAGACAAAACGGCGGTCAATTTACTCTCAATATGTGCTGTGTATGGTCTAGTGACGTAATCAAACAATGGCGTATTGAGAAACATATTTGCTAAACAGGGAATCTATGCTGGCTCAAGCAGCCGCTTCCGCTAAAAATTATGTCAAAAGTTTTAAGTGAGCTTATTCCATCATAACTGATGTTTGCTTCAATATCTTCAAATATGGAGCATTGCCCTTAAAGATTGGTGTCAAATCTCACCACACGGGGAAGAAAATGACGTCAAACCAACAGCATGGCGCAGGCGAATGTACAGGACACAAACCCACTATCGAGTCTCGAAACTGGCGCACGCACAAGTGCAGGGGGTCACTTACAACAGTCCTTCGCAAGCTGTACCGACACCCTGCGCGGAGACCGTGTGAATGTGCTGCCCGCACCATGCCAATGGTCCGCCTCAGCCTGTGTATACACTCTGTTTCAGCTTGCGTGAGCGTTCTGTAACTGGCCGTGGGGACGTTCAGCCTGTGTGTACACTCTGTTTCTGCTTGTGTGAGCGCTCTGCAACTGGCTGTACGGACGCTAAGCCTGTGTGTACGCTCTGTTTCAGCTTGTGTGAACGCTCTGTAACAGGCTGCACGGACGCTCAGCCTGTGTGTACACTCTGTTTCAGCTTGTGTAAGCGTTCTGTAACAGGCCGTATGGACGTTCAGCCTGTGTGTACACTCTGTTTCAGCTTGTGTGATCGCTCTGTAACAGGCCGTAAGAACGTTCTGTCAAAATCAACGCGACTGCAGCCGCAGACTGTTTGGCCACACTGTGTTAGACTATGTGAACGAACTGTCACAGACTGTGTGGACGCTCAGTCACAGACTGTGTGAACGCGCTGTCACAGACTGCGTGGATGAACTATCAATGACTGCGGGAGCGCACTGTCACAGACTGTGTGGATGTTCTGTCCCACTGTGTGGGCCCTCTCCCTCAACCTGTGTAAACGCACTGTCACGAACCGCGTGGGCGCTCAGCCACGTACTGCGCGGACGCTCAGCCACGGACTGTGTAGACGCTCAGCCACGGACTGCGTGGACGCTCAGCCACGGACCGTGTGGACGCTCGGACTGTGTGGGCACTCAGCCACGGACTGTGTGGACGCTCTTTCACGCAAGCAATGGGCTGTTGTGGTACATAGGGATCATCGGCAGACTGGTGCGGTGCATGCGGCCATCAGTGGACTGCTGCTGTGTCAATCGGTCCTCAGATGGCACCTTTTACATGGGCCACCAGTTGAGCAATACTAAGCATCTCGTCAGGCTGGTGCTCTCCAGGTCCATTTGGCGGTGGCTTGTGTGTAAAGGCCGTTGGGGAACTCGTCACAATGTAATAGGGTGAGGTTGTGTGTACTGACCATTGGATGCATAGATCCAGAGATCCGGTAATCTATAGGTCAGTAAATCATGGTTTGTGGTTGAGCTTTGTGCATAAATCCCCAATGGCAGCGCTGCCACGGCCTGGCCAGCAGGAGCGCCGGGCATGTCCGTCAGGCCACTCCGCCTCCGACGCACAACGCACGACTCATGTCGCTGGCCCTTGAGGGCTCAGTCCGCCGCCACCACATGAGAGTACGCGCGACTCCGCAGGTTCCGGTACGTCCAACTTGGATAAGCTGAAGAACGCAGTGCAGCAGCTGGCACAGCATTTGGGACTGGGACAGCCGCAGCTGGACCAGCTGGAGGGCAGCCTCCACCAGCTGGTCAACAGCCTGGGCGGCCTCATACAGGGCACTGGCGGCACCACCATCGAGTCCTTGTTGAAAAACATCATCTACTTGCTGAACATCCTGGGCGTGCCCAGCCCGGGTGAGTGTCAGGCCATAGGAAATACACCGATTTGTTGCCGACCTGTCACCGGCCTGGCCACCAACCAAAAATCACAGGATGGTTTTGTCGCCGGGCTGGAATGAAACCTAGAAAAGATACCGTGGTGCCATAGAGTACGGTAAAGAGTTTTTACGGAAACATTTGCTGATGTTGTGTGACGAAATGTATTACCATGCAGACGTAATATCAAGGTATGGAGTCCTCGTGTTGTGTTTTGCTTAATGTGCTGCATCATTTCGTCTTGGCCGTCCCCAAAATGTGCTGTCCAAGAACATTTTTGGCACCAAGCTTCGCGTGAGTATATACATTTTTGTCGCCGACCGTATCCACCAAGTCGACAGGTTTTACCACCCACGGTGAGTGTGCTGCGCTCCTGCGGCTCTGCGGAGCGGAGGTCAGTGCTCGCCGTCTGACAGTTCCCACTTGATCCACCTCTATTCGTCATCCATCGATCGTCCCTCGCTATGCCCGATGGAACATGATGCTTGTGACTTGCCTCGCACGGGAGAAGGCGATAGCACAGGGCCCACTGCCTCGTGCTCATCACTGAAGCAGCAAATGCTGCGGATCTAAACTCAGAGCAGCTGGCTTCGAGTGAGCCCCGTGCCGAGGAAAGCAGGCCAAATCGCAGTTACCAAACAACGGACGGCGGCCTTCCTCCGTTCCTCCATCGTACGCCACAGCCTTCCTCCGGTATCCAGTTCACGCAGCAGCCTCTTTGGACGCTCCATGCGCCCCAGCATGACCATCTCACATTACTGGACGTTTAGGTGCAAGTTGTGACGGACTGGCAGGATATTTTACTCCAAACCGTACTTCTTGTTGATGATCGCAAAATAAGTGTATGGATGGATCTGTTTACGGCTGAGAAGCGTTCGACTAAAACATTTTATCCGCGCCTACACACATGCCCGAAATTTCCCTAAAATATGTTCCCAACCCGGCTCAATTCCCTACAGATACCCACGGTACCCAACTCATCCGCACTGGCTCCTGCGCTACGGCCACCAAAAGCCACACCACGACCATCCGGACCTTGCACTGTCCTTGAGATGGCTGCGCGGGCTTCAGCACTCGCTGCATCCTCAGAAACGATCACCGTTCGCCGAAACATGGCACAGACGGAAGACGCCATTTTCGTGCAGGTCGCGGTCTCACCATCAAACCATTCCGCAGCCTCCATGTCAACGGTGCTGGGATAGCCAAAGCACACAGCATATGCAACCTGTTACCTTCCCCGCCGCACATTTTCGGTGCCAACTTCAGGCGCATCTGCAGTAACTGGTGTAGTTCACCGACCCAAACTGCGATACACGCTGGCATGACTTGCTGGTTACATTTCATAGTCATGGCTGTAGTCATTCAGTGGAATACTTCCATGCGGCGGTGAAAACGAGTTCAGTCAATGTGGTTACATAGTGCTGTAAAATCCAGGACAAGGGATCATGACATCAAACAGCAAAAGCAAGAAGCGCGTGCTAATTAAAACGCTCCCTATACGCACATCTACCACAATAGAACCATCCCAAGTGGTCATGACGCCCTGAAGTCGTGCAAAAGTGGAGCAGTTACGTCTCCTACAGGGCATGCCAGCGGCGATCTCAACGTGCTGCTGCATCAGCTGCAGTATCAGCTGGTGGCCCTGGTGGACCAGCTCGGCTCATCTCTCACCGCCGACCAGATTACCAACGCCAAAATCAAAATCAGCGAGCTCATCGAGTGGTTGCGCTCCTACGACAGCAGCAACCCTACCGCCAGCGCCGGCACACTGCTGGCCGATCTCACCGCGCTGTTCACTGGTCTACTCCCAGAGGCTGGTGAGCTCTCCACCAAAGGCACGGGTCGTGTCTTTGCCTTTGTCTTTACAAAGGCATCAACGCAGCGGTTTCTTCAAGCTCTCCGGACTTCGGAGATGTCGACTACCCTCCTCAGAAGACTGCACCAAAACTTAGTGTGCTTCAGAAACTGGACTTGTTTGTACCTGATATGCAAACCTCAGCTTCTCACCACACCAGATGATCGGGCCTCCTACTCAATGTCACCGATCTACGCCATACAAACGTGGATAACACCACCGTGCTGTTCGACTCACGTTTATCGCCAAGCGCTACCTTGCGTTTTGGATAGTGAAGCATTTGTCGAGCAGCTATTACGAGCAAGCCCGCAACTCGACAGTTTTGCGTGAACTACGGATGATATTGAACTTGAGATCACGCCTGATAGTCATGTTGCCACTTCTACACTTGGGTTCACTGTTTTCAGTGACAAGGGCCGTGGTTAGCTGAAAGTCGTGCAACGTATCTTTGTAGCATTCATGTACAGATTGTGTAATGAACCAAAATTCCCCCGCAGCATAGCAACACTGCTAGGTTTCAGTTCCATTCAACTGGAAAATAAAAATACGGATCTTGCAAAAAGACTAAATAAGGCGGCTAAACACCGGATGATGATGATGATGATGATGATGATGATGATGATGATGTCTCAGCAGTATGGCATCACAGTGGCATGAGACCGACTCCTTCCAAGGAGAATGAAAAGGAGAACCGTAATGGCAAAAGTTGGTGTCTATATGCTTAAACAAGAGAGTGCTATTGTGCACAGGCTATGAACCAGCCCACTATGGGACGTTTTTAAGGAAAGTGTTCGCCATTTGTATGCAGTTTAACCTGAAATGGCAATTCTGAAGATTATACGGCGCAGTTCACAGCCCTGCCCTTCTTAAGACCTGAGCCGTTCTAGGCTCTGAGCTACACGCCGGCGGAGGTGTGCTACCTCGGGAGACTTTTTCAAAGCCACGCAAGCATCCATGACGTCATAAAAACGCAATTTAGACCCTGCCATTCCATTAGCCATGCGGCGGTCAAGGACAAAGAAAATATACTTGTGGAAACATTCATATCTGGCGTTCATGAGCACAATTCCCAGACAAAACGGCGGTCAATTTACTCTCAATATGTGCTGTGTATGGTCTAGTGACGTAATCAAACAATGGCGTATTGAGAAACATATTTGCTAAACAGGGAATCTATGCTGGCTCAAGCAGCCGCTTCCGCTAAAAATTATGTCAAAAGTTTTAAGTGAGCTTATTCCATCATAACTGATGTTTGCTTCAATATCTTCAAATATGGAGCATTGCCCTTAAAGATTGGTGTCAAATCTCACCACACGGGGAAGAAAATGACGTCAAACCAACAGCATGGCGCAGGCGAATGTACAGGACACAAACCCACTATCGAGTCTCGAAACTGGCGCACGCACAAGTGCAGGGGGTCACTTACAACAGTCCTTCGCAGGCTGTACCGACACCCTGCGCGGAGACCGTGTGAATGTGCTGCCCGCACCATGCCAATGGTCCGCCTCAGCCTGTGTATACACTCTGTTTCAGCTTGCGTGAGCGTTCTGTAACTGGCCGTAGGGACGTTCAGCCTGTGTGTACACTCTGTTTCTGCTTGTGTGAGCGCTCTGCAACTGGCTGTACGGACGCTCAGCCTGTGTGTACGCTCTGTTTCAGCTTGTGTGAACGCTCTGTAACAGGCTGCACGGACGCTCAGCCTGTGTGTACACTCTGTTTCAGCTTGTGTAAGCGTTCTGTAACAGGCCGTATGGACGTTCAGCCTGTGTGTACACTCTGTTTCAGCTTGTGTGATCGCTCTGTAACAGGCCGTAAGAACGTTCTGTCAAAATCAACGCGACTGCAGCCGCAGACTGTTTGGCCACATTGTGTTAGACTATGCGAACGAACTGTCACAGACTGTGTGGACGCTCAGTCACAGACTGTGTGAACGCGCTGTCACAGACTGCGTGGATGAACTATCAATGACTGCGGGAGCGCACTGTCACAGACTGTGTGGATGTTCTGTCCCACTGTGTGGGCCCTCTCCCTCAACCTGTGTAAACGCACTGTCACGAACCGCGTGGGCGCTCAGCCACGTACTGCGCGCACGCTCAGCCACGGACTGTGTAGACGCTCAGCCACGGACTGCGTGGACGCTCAGCCACGGACCGTGTGGACGCTCGGACTGTGTGGGCACTCAGCCACGGACTGTGTGGACGCTCTTTCACGCAAGCAATGGGCTGTTGTGGTACATAGGGATCATCGGCAGACTGGTGCGGTGCATGCGGCCATCAGTGGACTGCTGCTGTGTCAATCGGTCCTCAGATGGCACCTTTTACATGGGCCACCAGTTGAGCAATACTAAGCATCTCGTCAGGCTGGTGCTCTCCAGGTCCATTTGGCGGTGGCTTGTGTGTAAAGGCCGTTGGGGAACTCGTCACAATTTAATAATGAGAGTAAGCACGACTCCGCAGGTTCCGGTACGTCCAACTTGGATAAGCTGAAGAACGCAGTGCAGCAGCTGGCACAGCATTTGGGACTGGGACAGCCGCAGCTGGACCAGCTGGAGGGCAGCCTCCACCAGCTGGTCAACAGCCTGGGCGGCCTCATACAGGGCACTGGCGGCACCACCATCGAGTCCTTGTTGAAAAACATCATCTACTTGCTGAACATCCTGGGCGTGCCCAGCCCGGGTGAGTGTCAGGCCATAGGAAATACACCGATTTGTTGCCGACCTGTCACCGGCCTGACCACCAACCAAAAATCACAGGATGGTTTTGTCGCCGGGCTGGAATGAAACCTAGAAAAGATACCGTGGTGCCATAGAGTACGGTAAAGAGTTTTTACGGAAACATTTGCTGATGTTGTGTGACGAAATGTATTACCATGCAGACGTAATATCAAGGTATGGAGACCTCGTGTTGTGTTTTGCTTAATGTGCTGCATCATTTCGTCTTGGCCGTCCCCAAAATGTGCTGTCCAAGAACATTTTTGGCACCAAGCTTCGCGTGAGTATATACATTTTTGTCGCCGACCGTATCCACCAAGTCGACAGGTTTTACCACCCACGGTGAGTGTGCTGCGCTCCTGCGGCTCTGCGGAGCGGAGGTCAGTGCTCGCCGTCTGACAGTTCCCACTTGATCCACCTCTATTCGTCATCCATCGATCGTCCCTCGCTATGCCCGATGGAACATGATGCTTGTGACTTGCCTCGCACGGGAGAAGGCGATAGCACAGGGCCCACTGCCTCGTGCTCATCACTGAAGCAGCAAATGCTGCGGATCTAAACTCAGAGCAGCTGGCTTCGAGTGAGCCCCGTGCCGAGGAAAGCAGGCCAAATCGCAGTTACCAAACAACGGACGGTGGCCTTCCTCCGTTCCTCCATCGTACGCCACAGCCTTCCTCCGGTATCCAGTTCACGCAGCAGCCTCTTTGGACGCTCCATGCGCCCCAGCATGACCATCTCACATTACTGGACGTTTAGGTGCAAGTTGTGACGGACTGGCAGGATATTTTACTCCAAACCGTACTTCTTGTTGATGATCGCAAAATGTGTGTATGGATGGATCTGTTTACGGCTGAGAAGCGTTCGACTAAAACATTTTATCCGCGCCTACACACATGCCCGAAATTTCCCCAAAATATGTTCCCAACCCGGCTCAATTCCCTACAGATACCCACGGTACCCAACTCATCCGCACTGGCTCCTGCGCTACGGCCACCAAAAGCCACACCACGACCATCCGGACCTTGCACTGTCCTTGAGATGGCTGCGCGGGCTTCAGCACTCGCTGCATCCTCAGAAACGATCAACGTTCGCCGAAACATGGCACAGACGGAAGACGCCATTTTCGTGCAGGTCGCGGTCTCACCATCAAACCATTCCGCAGCCTCCATGTCAACGGTGCTGCGATAGCCAAAGCACACAGCATATACAACCTGTTACCTTCCCCGCCGCACATTTTCGGTGCCAACTTCAGGCGCATCTGCGGTAACTGGTATAGTTCACCGACCCAAACTGCGATACACGCTGGCATGACTTGCTGGTTACATTTCATAGTCATGGCTGTAGTCATTCAGTGGAATACTTCTATGCGGCGATGAAAACGAGTTCAGTCAATGTGGTTACATAGTGCTGTAAAATCCAGGGCAAAGGATCATGAAATCAAACAGCAAAAGCAAGAAGCGCGTGCTAATTAAAACGCTCCCTATACGCACATCTACCACAATAGAACCATCCCAAGTGGTCATGACGCCCTGAAGTCGTGCAAAAGTGGAGCAGTTACGTCTCCTACAGGGCATGCCAGCGGCGATCTCAACGTGCTGCTGCATCAGCTGCAGTATCAGCTGGTGGCCCTGGTGGACCAGCTCGGCTCATCTCTCACTGCCGACCAGATTACCAACGCCAAAATCAAAATCAGCGAGTTCATCGAGTGGTTGCGCTCCTACGACAGCAGCAACCCTACCGCCAGCGCCGGCACACTGCTGGCCGATCTCGCCGCGCTGTTCACTGGTCTACTCCCAGAGGCTGGTGAGCTCTCCACCAAAGGCACGGGTCGTGTCTTTGCCTTTGTCTTTACAAAGGCATCAACGCAGCGGTTTCTTCAAGCTCTCCGGACTTCGGAGATGTCGACTAGCCTCCTGAGAAGACTGCACCAAAACTTAGTGTGCTTCAGAAACTGGACTTGTTTGTACCTGATATGCAAACCTCAGCTTCTCACCACACCAGATGATCGGGCCTCCTACTCAATGTCACCGATCTACGCCATACAAACGTGGATAACACCACTGTGCTGTTCGACTCACGTTTGTCGCCAAGCGCTACCTTGCGTTTTGGATAGTGAAGCATTTGTCGAGCAAAATTACGAGCAAGCCCGCAACTCGACAGTTTTGCGTGAACTGCGGATGATATTGAACTTGAGGTCACGCCTGATAGTCATGTTGCCACTTCTACACTTGGGTTCACTGTTTTCAGTGACAAGGGCCGTGGTTAGCTGAAAGTCGTGCAACGTATCTTTTTAGCATTCATGTACAGATTGTGTGATGAGCAAAATTTTCACCGCAGAATAGCAACACTGCTAAGTTCCAGTTCAATTGAAATGGAAAATAGAAATATGGATCTTGCAAAAAGGCTAAATAAGACGGCTTAACACCGGAAAGATGTATCAGCAGCCCCGCATCACAGTGTCGTGAGACCGACTCCCTCCAAGGAGAATAAAAAGGAGAACCGTAATGGCAAAAGTTGGTGTCTATATGCTCGAACCAGGGAGTGCTATTGTGCACAGGCCATGAGTCAGCCCATTATGGGACGTTTTTTAAAGAATGTGTTCCACTTTTGTATGCGGTTTAACCTGAGATAGCAATTCTGAAGATAATTCGGCGCAGTATACAGCCCTCCCCTTCTTAAGATCTGAGCCGTTCTAGCCTCTGAGCTACTCGCCGGCGAGGGTGTGCTACTTCGGGAGACTTTTTCAAAGCCACGCAAGCATCCATGACGCCATAAAAACACCATTCAGATCCTGCCATTCCATTAGCCATCATGCGGCGATCAAGGACAAGGAAACCATAATTGTCGAAGCGTTCATATCTGGCGTTCATGAGCACAATTCCCAGACAAAAACAGCCGTCAATTTACTCTCAATCGATGCTGTGTATGGTGTAGTGACGTAATCAAACAATGGCGTATTAAGAAACATATTTACTAAACAGAGAATCTATGCTGGCTAGAACAGCCGCTTCCGCTAAAAATTATGTCAAAAGTTATAAGTGAGCTTATTCCATCATAACTGATGCTTGCTTCAGAATCTTCAAATATGGAGCATTGCCCTTAAAGATTGGTGTCAAGTCTCACTACACGGGAAAGATAATGACGTCAAACCAACAGCATGGCGCAGGCGAATGTACAGGACACAAACCCACTATCGAGTCTCGAAACTGGCGCACGCACAAGTGCAGGGGGTCACTTACAACAGTCCTTCGCAGGCTGTACCGACACCCTGCCCTGAGACCGTGTGAATGTGCTGCCCGCACCATGTCAATGGTCCGCCTCAGCCTGTGTATACACTCTGTTTCAGCTTGCGTGAGCGTTCTGTAACTGGCCGTGGGGACGTTCAGCCTGTGTGTACACTCTGTTTCTGCTTGTGTGAGCGCTCTGCAACTGGCTGTACGGACGCTAAGCCTGTGTGTACGCTCTGTTTCAGCTTGTGTGAACGCTCTGTAACAGGCCGTATGGACGTTCAGCCTGTGTGTACACTCTGTTTCAGCTTGTGTGAGCGCTCTGTAACAGGCCGTAAGAACGTTCTGTCAAAATTAAGGCGACTGCAGCCGCAGACTGTTTGACCACACTGTGTTAGACTATGTGAACGAACTGTCACAGACTGTGTGGACGCTCAGTCACAGACTGTGTGAACGCGCTGTCACAGACTGCGTGGATGAACTATCAATGACTGTGGGAGCGCACTGTCACAGACTGTGTGGATGTTCTGTCCCACTGTGTGGGCCCTCTCCCTCAACCTGTGTAAACGCACTGTCACGAACCGCGTGGGCGCTCAGCCACGTACTGCGCGGACGCTCAGCCACGGACTGTGTAGACGCTCAGCCACGGACTGCGTGGACGCTCAGCCACGGACCGTGTGGACGCTCGGACTGTGTGGGCACTCAGCCACGGACTGTGTGGACGCTCTTTCACGCAAGCAATGGGCTGTTGTGGTACATAGGGATCATCGGCAGACTGGTGCGGTGCATGCGGCCATCAGTGGACTGCTGCTGTGTCAATCGGTCCTCAGATGGCACCTTTTACATGGGCCACCAGTTGAGCAATACTAAGCATCTCGTCAGGCTGGTGCTCTCCAGGTCCATTTGGCGGTGGCTTGTGTGTAAAGGCCGTTGGGGAACTCGTCACAATGTAATAGGGTGAGGTTGTGTGTACTGACCATTGGATGCATAGATCCAGAGATCCGGTAATCTATAGGTCAGTAAATCATGGTTTGTGGTTGAGGTTTGTGCATAAATCCCCAATGGCAGCGCTGCCACGGCCTGGCCAGCAGGAGCGCCGGGCATGTCCGTCAGGCCACTCCGCCTCCGACGCACAACGCACGACTCATGTCGCTGGCCCTTGAGGGCTCAGTCCGCCGCCACCACATGAGAGTACGCGCGACTCCGCAGGTTCCGGTACGTCCAACTTGGATAAGCTGAAGAACGCAGTGCAGCAGCTGGCACAGCATTTGGGACTGGGACAGCCGCAGCTGGACCAGCTGGAGGGCAGCCTCCACCAGCTGGTCAACAGCCTGGGCGGCCTCATACAGGGCACTGGCGGCACCACCATCGAGTCCTTGTTGAAAAACATCATCTACTTGCTGAACATCCTGGGCGTGCCCAGCCCGGGTGAGTGTCAGGCCATAGGAAATACACCGATTTGTTGCCGACCTGTCACCGGCCTGGCCACCAACCAAAAATCACAGGATGGTTTTGTCGCCGGGCTGGAATGAAACCTAGAAAAGACACCGTGGTGCCATAGAGTACGGTAAAGAGTTTTTACGGAAACATTTGCTGATGTTGTGTGACGAAATGTATTACCATGCAGACGTAATATCAAGGTATGGAGACCTCATGTTGTGTTTTGCTTAATGTGCTGTATCATTTCGTCTTGGCCGTCCCCAAAATGTGCTAAGAACATTTTTGGCACCAAGCTTCGCGTGAGTATATACATTTTTGTCGCCGACCGTATCCACCAAGTCGACAGGTTTTACCACCCATGGTGAGTGTGCTGCGCTCCTGCGGCTCTGCGGAGCGGAGGTCAGTGCTCGCCGTCTGACAGCTCCCACTTGATCCACCTCTATTCGTCATCCATCGGTCGTCCCTCGCTATGCCCGATGGAACATGATGCTTGTGACTTGCCTCGCACGGGAGAAGGCGATAGCACAGGGCCCACTGCCTCGTGCTCATCACTGAAGCAGCAAATGCTGCGGATCTAAACTCAGAGCAGCTGGCTTCGAGTGAGCCCCGTGCCGAGGAAAGCAGGCCAAATCGCAGTTACCAAACAACGGACGGCGGCCTTCCTCCGTTCCTCCATCGTACGCCACAGCCTTCCTCCGGTATCCAGTTCACGCAGCAGCCTCTTTGGACGCTCCATGCGCCCCAGCATGACCATCTCACATTACTGGACGTTTAGGTGCAAGTTGTGACGGACTGGCAGGATATTTTACTCCAAACCGTACTTCTTGTTGATGATCGCAAAATAAGTGTATGGATGGATCTGTTTACGGCTGAGAAGCGTTCGACTAAAACATTTTATCCGCGCCTACACACATGCCCGAAATTTCCCCAAAATATGTTCCCAACCCGGCTCAATTCCCTACAGATACCCACGGTACCCAACTCATCCGCACTGGCTCCTGCGCTACGGCCACCAAAAGCCACACCACGACCATCCGGACCTTGCACTGTCCTTGAGATGGCTGCGCGGGCTTCAGCACTCGCTGCATCCTCAGAAACGATCACCGTTCGCCGAAACATGGCACAGACGGAAGACGCCATTTTCGTGCAGGTCGCGGTCTCACCATCAAACCATTCCGCAGCCTCCATGTCAACGGTGCTGCGATAGCCAAAGCACACAGCATATGCAACCTGTTACCTTCCCCGCCGCACATTTTCGGTGCCAACTTCAGGCGCATCTGCAGTAACTGGTGTAGTTCACCGACCCAAACTGCGATACACGCTGGCATGACTTGCTGGTTACATTTCATAGTCATGGCTGTAGTCATTCAGTGGAATACTTCTATGCGGCGGTGAAAACGAGTTCAGTCAATGTGGTTACATAGTGCTGTAAAATCCAGGACAAGGGATCATGACATCAAACAGCAAAAGCAAGAAGCGCGTGCTAATTAAAACGCTCCCTATGCGTACATCTACCACAATAGAACGATCCCAAGTGGTCATGACGCCCTGAAGTCGTGCAAAAGTAGAGCAGTGGCGTCTCCTACAGGGCATGCCAGCGGCGATCTCAACGTGCTGCTGCATCAGCTGCAGTATCAGCTGGTGGCCCTGGTGGACCAGCTCGGCTCATCTCTCACCGCCGACCAGATTACCAACGCCAAAATCAAAATCAGCGAGTTCATCGAGTGGTTGCGCTCCTACGACAGCAACAACCCTACCGCCAGCGCCGGCACACTGCTGGCCGATCTCGCCGCGCTGTTCACTGGTCTACTCCCAGAGGCTGGTGAGCTCTCCACCAAAGGCACAGGTCGTGTCTTTGCATTTGCCTTTACAAAAGCATCAACACAGCGGTTTCTTCAAGTTCTCCGGACTTCGGAGATGGCGACTAGCCTCCTCAGAAGACTGCACCAAAACTTAGTGTGCTTCAGAAACTGGACTTGTTTGTATCTGATATGCAAACCTCAGCTTCTCACCACACCAGATGATCGAGCCTCCTTCTCAATGTCACTGATCTAAACCATACAAGCGCGGATAACACCACTGTGCTGTTCGACTCACGTTTGTCGCTAAGCGCTACTTTGCGTTTTGGATAGTGAAGCATTTGTCGAGCAGCTATTACGAGCAAGCCCGCAACTCGACAGTTTTGCGTGAGCTGCGGATGATATTGAACTTGAGGTCACGCCTGATAGTCAAGTTGCCACTTCTACACTTGGGTTCACTGTTTTCAGTGACAAGGGCCGTGGTTAGCTGAAAGTCGTGCAACGTATTTTTTTGGCATTCGTGTACAGATTGTGTAATGAGCCAAAATTCCCCCGCAGCATAGCAACACTGCTAGGTTTCAGTTCCATTCAAATGGAAAATAAAAATACGGATCTTGCAAAAAGACTAAATAAGGCGGCTAAACACCGGATGATGACGATGATGATGATGATGATGTCTCAGCAGTATGGCATCACAGAGGCATGAGACCGACTCCTTCCAAGGAGAATGAAAAGGAGAACCGTAATGGCAAATGTTGGTGTCTATATGCTCAAACAAGAGAGTGCTATTGTGCACAGGCTATGAGCCACCCCACTATGGGACGTTTTTAAGGAAAGTGTTCGCCATTTGTATGCAGTTTAACCTGAAATGGCAATTCTGAAGATTATACGGCGCAGTTCACAGCCCTGCCCTTCTTAAGACCTGAGCCGTTCTAGGCTCTGAGCTACACGCCGGCGGAGGTGTGCTATCTCGGGAGACTTTTTCAAAGCCACGCAAGCATCCATGACGTCATAAAAACGCAATTCAGATCCTGCCATTCCATTAGCCATGCGGCGGTCAAGGACAAGGAAAATATAATTGTGGAAGCGTTCATATTTGACGTTCATGAGCACAATTCCCAGACAAAACAGCCGTCAATTTACTCTCAATCTATGCTGAGTATGGTCTAGTGACGTAATCAAACAATGGCGTATTGATAAACATATTTGCTAAACAGGGAATCCATGCTGGCTTAAACAGCCGCTGCCGCTAAAATTATGTCAAAAGTTTTAAGTGAGCTTATTCCATCATAACTTGTGACTTTCAACAGTCCTTCGCAGGCTGTACCGACACCCTGCCCTGAGACCGTGTGAATGTGCTGCCCGCACCATGTCAATGGTCCGCCTCAGCCTGTGTATACACTCTGTTTCAGCTTGCGTGAGCGTTCTGTAACTGGCCGTAAGGACGTTCAGCCTGTGTGTACGCTCTGTTTCAGCTTGTGTGAGCGCTCTGCAACTGGCTGTACGGACGCTAAGCCTGTGTGTACGCTCTGTTTCAGCTTGTGTGAACGCTCTGTAACAGGCTGCACGGACTCTCAGCCTGTGTGTACACTCTGTTTCAGCTTGTGTGAGCGCTCTGTAACAGGCCGTAAGAACGTTCTGTCAAAATCAACGCGACTGCAGCCGCAGACTGTTTGGCCACACTGTGTTAGACTATGTGAACGAACTGTCACAGACTGTGTGGACGCTCAGTCACAGACTGTGTGAACGCGCTGTCACAGACTGCGTGGATGAGCTATCAATGACTGCGGGAGCGCACTGTCACAGACTGTGTGGATGTTCTGTCCCACTGTGTGGGCCCTCTCCCTCAACCTGTGTAAACGCACTGTCACGAACCGCGTGGGCGCTCAGCCACGTACTGCGCGCACGCTCAGCCACGGACTGTGTAGACGCTCAGCCACGGACTGCGTGGACGCTCAGCCACGGACCGTGTGGACGCTCGGACTGTGTGGGCACTCAGCCACGGACTGTGTGGACGCTCTTCCATGCAAGCAATGGGCTGTTGTGGTACATAGGGATCATCAGCAGACTGGTGCGGTGCATGCGGCCATCAGTGGACTGCTGCTGTGTCAATCGGTCCTCAGATGGCACCTTTTACATGGGCCACCAGTTGAGCAATACTAAGCATCTCGTCAGGCTGGTGCTCTCCAGGTCCATTTGGCGGTGGCTTGTGTGTAAAGGCCGTTGGGGAACTCGTCACAATTTAATAATGAGAGTAAGCACGACTCCGCAGGTTCCGGTACGTCCAACCTGGATAAGCTGAAGAACGCAGTGCAGCAGCTGGCACAGCATTTGGGACTGGGACAGCCGCAGCTGGACCAGCTGGAGGGCAGCCTCCACCAGCTGGTCAACAGCCTGGGCGGCCTCATACAGGGCACTGGCGGCACCACCATCGAGTCCTTGTTGAAAAACATCATCTACTTGCTGAACATCCTGGGCGTGCCCAGCCCGGGTGAGTGTCAGGCCATAGGAAATACACCGATTTGTTGCCGACCTGTCACCGGCCTGACCACCAACCAAAAATCACAGGATGGTTTTGTCGCCGGGCTGGAATGAAACCTAGAAAAGATACCGTGGTGCCATAGAGTACGGTAAAGAGTTTTTACGGAAACATTTGCTGATGTTGTGTGACGAAATGTATTACCATGCAGACGTAATATCAAGGTATGGAGACCTCATGTTGTGTTTTGCTTAATGTGCTGTATCATTTCGTCTTGGCCGTCCCCAAAATGTGCTGTCCAAGAACATTTTTGGCACCAAGCTTCGCGTGAGTATATACATTTTTGTCGCCGACCGTATCCACCAAGTCGACAGGTTTTACCACCCACGGTGAGTGTGCTGCGCTCCTGCGGCTCTGCGGAGCGGAGGTCAGTGCTCGCCGGCTGAGAGTTCCCACTTGATCTACCTCTATTCGTCATCCATCGATCGTCCCTCGCTATGCCCGATGGAACATGATGCTTGTGACTTGCCTCGCACGGGAGAAGGCGATAGCACAGGGCCCACTGCCTCGTTTTCATCACTGAAACAGCAAATGCTGCGGATCAGAACTCAGAGCAGATGGCTCGCAGTTAGTCCGTTACTAAACAGAGCGGGCCAAATCGCTGTGACCAAACAACGGACGGCAGCCTTCCTTCAGCGCTCAGCCTATGCCACCTGTTACCTGCCCTGCGGCACACTTTCGTTGCCAATTCTAGCAGTTCCCCGAGTCCGTCTGCGGTAGTCAGTAGTAGGTGTAGTTCGCTGACATGGACTGCAATAAACACGAGTATGGCTTGCTGGTAACAGGGATATGTACACTGATATTGTAAAGCCCAGGAGCCGTGTAAAACTAGAGCACTTGCGTCTCCGTCAGGAAATCCCGGCGGTGGCCTCCACGCCCTGGTGAATCAGCTGCAGTATCAGCTGGCGGCCCTGCTGGATCAACTCGGCCCATCGCTCACCGACGACCAGATCAACAACGCCAAAATCGACATCCGCGAGTTCATCGAGTGGTTGCGCTCGTACGACGGCAACAACCCTTCCACCAGCGCCGGCATACTGCTGGCCGATCTCACCACGCTGTTCTCTGGTATACTCCCAGAGCCTGGTGAGCTCTCCACTAAAGGCACCGGTTGTAATATTCTCCATCAACAGCGCAATGGTTCGGTGCAGCCTGCTAGTTTTAGGAGACGTCGATCAGGGCATTCAGCACATTGCACTGAAATTTGTTTCGGCATAAACCAAAGTCGTATGTGCCTGATATGAATCCTCAGCTTCTTACCACGCCAGATAGTGAAACCTTTTCCTTAGTATCACTGATCTACGCTGTGCAAATCTGGAGTGCACCACTGCGCTGCTCGACGCCCGTTCCCTACGAAAGGCAACATCGCGCTATATATCGTGACTGATCGCAGTCTGCGCGCAAGAAAACCCCAATCATCATCATCGTCTGGTGACTGATCTGTGGAGTAGTTGTTACGGTTAGGCCACAAGTCGAGAGTTTTGCTTGAGCTTCGACGTGATATTAAGCTTGAGGTCACGCCTTCTAGCAGCCAATAGCGTTGCACTTGTGAAAGGTTCACGCCGCTTTCAGCAACAAGAGCCAGGGTTTGATGAAGCTTGTGCGATATAGATTTTATTAGAACGCACATATGAGCTTCTGGATCAGGTGAGTAGCTCTGCAGTAAAACAACATCGATTCGGTTCCACAAACATGGAAAAACAGAACACGAAAGCTGCGAAAAGGCTATAGAACACGACGAGAAACCAGGCAGCGATCTCGGCGATCTCTGTATCGACCCAGTATCGTAGTGGCAGTGTGATCGTAGTATCGTAATGACAGTGAAGCAGTGACGCGAGACTCAACTTATTATAACGGAGATAGCAAGGAGAACCGTACTGGCAAGAGCTGGTGTCAATAGGTTTGACCTATTGCGCTTTTGGACGCAGACCATGGTTTTCCTTGTGTGGCGAAGTTGTTATAGAGTGTGCCCCACCTTTGGGTCATTTTTCAAAAATGTACTGTAGTTTAACCTGAAACCAGTTGCGTCTAATAATAGTGCTGAGTAGTGCCACTGCAACATTGTCAAAGCATCACGAGGGCATTAATCCTGATAACTTACTTGTTCAGATTATGCTGTTAAAACTTTCGAACTACTGTTCTCTGTAGCCGCGATTGCCATCGTTACGGCAACCGCCGTGGCACACTGCTGCGTATGAAATAACGCTTGTGGTTGGCCCAGCGGGCGACAAGAGCCCGTAACCGAGGAGCGCATGGACTGAAGTTTAGACCAGTTCGTCACAGCAAACTGTGTGATGCCCCCATTCCCAAAGCCAAAGTACGCCGCGAAAAGAGCTCCTGTGGTTAACGCCAAGAGGAGCGATCAAAGTCAGCAAAACGTTGCGTTGAATTCGCGGGGTAATGGCTTAATGTTCGCATATCTTGTTGCGCATGGTTCCGTGATGTGCGATGTTTGGTAGCGCATGGGGGTGTGATGCAACTTTGACTGACTGTACTGTACACACGTTTGAAAAGCTTTATATTCACAGTTAACACGTGGCTTAACCCCTGATTGTTAGAATACTTATGGGCGCATGTGACTGCTGAGGTCATGTGCGCTTCCATCACTGGAAAGAACCAGGATCAGAAGACATTCTGACCGGCCTGGACTTCATCGGACGGGTCGATCGTAGCAGATAGGCAAACTACCCTGGTAAAAGTTGCCGAAGAAGTACAAGGCCGCCTCCTGTCCTTGAGTTTTTTGTCGCGGCACGTCGCGCATGAAACAGGCAGGGTTCGTCTACAACACTACGACACACTACAACACTACAACACTCCACAACACTACGGCGCAGCTTGTACCGACGCTGTGCCACAAGCTGTATGGACGTTTTGTCACAGGCTGCGCGAGCGCCCCGCTCGGGGCTTAGCCAATCCTTTGTCTCAGGCTGTACCGACGCTCGACCCTCAGACCGTGGGGATGTCCCGCCCCAGGCTACGCTAACGCTCTGCCTAAGGCCGTGTGGCCACTCTGTCGCAAGCTATGTGGCCGCTCTGTCACAGGCTGTGTGGTTGCTCTGTCACAGGTTACGTGGCCGCGCTCTGTCACAGGCTGTGTGGTCGCTCTGTCACAGCCTGTGTGGCCGCTCTGTCACAGGCTGTACGGACGCCGCCGGCACGGTGCACCAGCTGAACACGGTGTACGTGGACGACCCATCGTCGCCGCAGTACTGCTACTTGTGCGCCAACTCGACAGCGGGCGTGGGGCCGCTGCTGGTGCTGGACATCACCAAGAACTGCGGCGCTCCGCCGCCCGGCTGCACCAGCCGAGCGGTGCCTAACAACTGCTGCCCGGCGGTGGACTGCAGCCCGGGCGGTCAGTGCGTGGCCCAGCCGGCGCCGGCCCAGCTGGCGGCCCCGGCCGGCGCCGGCTCAGCTGGCGGCCCCAGCCGGCGCCGGCCCGGCTGGCGGCCCCGGCCGGCGCCGGCTCAGCTGGCGGCCCCGGCCGGCGCCAGGCTAGCTGGCGGCCCCAGCCAGCGCCGGCCCAGCTCGCAGCCCCGGCCGGCGCCGGCCCAGCTGGCAGCCCTGGCCGGCGGTTGGGCCCGCCCCGCAGCAGGGCACCGCCAGAGCCGCTTTGGGCTTGAGAGCCGCCCGCCCTTTTGATTTTTTGAACGCCGGATAGCCCACGCTACAGCTCGCTCAATTATCACAACGTAGCAAGCCGTGGGAAGGACGGAACTGAATTCCTTTCTTAATCTGCTATGCTCGTTTTTTTCCTGTGCGCCAAGTTCCTGAGATGATCAAGCAAATGTCCGATGACTGCCCCAAAGAAGCATTGTTTCATAGCTACTTTATTTACCTCCCATACCGAGGAACGTCTTCCGAGAACATTAATCTGCTGCCCATGCTATTAATGCGTTGTCTTCGTTCACTACAAGCTACCCGTAATACATTTCTACGAACTCTCGCTACCATCTCCCTCCCTCTCTCTCTCTCTCTCTCTCTCTCTCTCTCTCTCCTCTCTCTCTCTCTCTCTCTCTCTCTCTCTCTCTCTTCTCTCTCTCTCTCCTTCTCTCTCTCTCTTCGTCTCACTCTCCATATTTCCTTCTTTCCTCCTCTGTGTATCGGTGTATCTGTGCGTTTGTGTGTCTGTGTGTCCATCTGTCTGTCTGTCTGTCTGTCTCTCTCCTTCCTTCTCCCTCTCCCTCTCTCTCTCTCTCTTTCGTTCTCTTTTTCGCTCTCTCCCTTTCCCTTGCCCTCTCCCTATCCCTCTCCCCCTCCCTCTCGCTCTCCCTCTCCCCCTCCCCTCCCCTTTCCCTACAAGCTCCCACACACCGTGGCATGAAGCTCCACCTTACCGCACCCTGTCGCTCCCTTTTCCGCCCACAGAAGCGGCCTGCCGGGACCCCAACGGCGCGCTGCACCAGCACGGCTCCACCTTCGTGGACGACCCCATCCGGCCGTGCATCACGTATCGCTGCAATGACGGCGTCATCGAGGTGATCGACAAGATCACCTGCATGGACGTGCCTGAGGGCTGCACGTCGTGGCTCATGAACGGTCGCTGCTGTCCGAAGTCCGACTGTCCCGCAGGCAAGCCCCAGCCGTCTTCCTCCTGGTTTGCATTGGCGTGAATGGTTTACATGATATTCACATGTGCTCGGCGTTTCATTTCTTTGTGAGTATACATCACGCGGGTTATTTGCTGTGCGTGCTGTGGACTGCATTGCTGTGAACGATGCTCCGCTGTGGTTTTTATGATTCCATGCCTATGGAGTCGTGAAATATCATTTTATACCGTACCATTATGATATTTCCCTACATTTTTATCGTTTTGCTTCTGAAAGTATGTCACTGCAGGTACTTGCCCGAGTCAGATCCTTTCAAAAAATTCAAAGGCATCAGTTTGATGCTAAATGTTATTAGGCGATTTCTTGTCTTAGTAACGTTGGGGTGGATTAATGTTATTGTTTGTTACAAGTGCCAGACAGGGGCGTAGCCTTGAAAAAAATTTGAGTCTGAGAGAAGAAAATGGATGAATCAACCCAAAATGCACAGCAAGCGGGTTTCTCCCACCAATTGACCCACCTTTGTTGAGTTTGAGAGGGGCGGCTGGAGCCTCGCTACTGGTGTAGGACACTATACTCACGACGTCGGGGGTAGTATGGTGCTCGTGATTGATGTGAAGGGAGTGGGCGATCCTCACCTTAAAGCATTGACAACAGTGTAACGACACTTTAACAAAAATGGTTCTGCAACAGCCGCATTCATATCAGGGACTGATGCGCGTAGCTTCACACAAATATTTCAATTCTCAACTTATCATGTGCATTATATCTATGTATTTCTAAGCTGACATTTTTGCGATGTTGCTTCGGTTTCTAAGCGGTGACCGAGCAAATGTAATCTGATCCGTGAGCTGCCGAGAATAATCGAAACGTAACCTGACCCGATCAGCAATGGGTGAACTGCAGAATGCGACTGATAATCCAAGGTCAGCACCTGGTCTAAGGTCTAAGGTCAGCACAGGCGTGAGCAGACATTAAGCAGCGCAGATCCCATCAATCGCATTGTCAAATGACCTTTAGAAAATGCACACAGCCGGAGCTGCCTCAGAGCGGTCGCTACTGTCCGACGGTGACCTGGCGCCCTGCGCCCGCAGAGGACTGCGTGTACAAGGGTCGCGAGCGGGACCACGGCACCTCGTGGCCGCAGAACCCGGCGCGGCCGTGCGTCATCCTCACCTGCCTGAACGGTGACGTCAGCTCCCAGGATCTGACGTCACTCTGCCCGCCGCCGCCGCAGCCGCACTGTGTCAAACGTCACGTCGCCTACCAGTGCTGCCCGGCGTACGACTGCGTCACAGGTGCGCCGCGCACGGGCGGCCCTGCCGCCGGGCGCCGCACCACGCCCCGCTGCGACAGCGGCGTTCAGGACCCGGGCCGGTCGCGCTTGCCAAACGGACTCGAGTGTTCCCGTGTTCGACGGCATCCCAGTGCCACTGCTGTCTTGCAGATGAAGCGGGCCAGCGCCGGGAAAACCGGCTTCGGGTAGCAATCGTGGGACCCGCGGGTGGATATTTTTGCTGAACACTGACAAGATTTCTGTTATAGATGAGGGCAGATGACCTTGCTAAAATTGGTTTGTTTTAGCCTACCTTTTGATGTTCAGAACTTCGCTTCTCATGCCAGTGAAAGCCGCAGTTGAAATTATTTTCAGCGAAGCAGAACGTTAGTTATCACGCCTGCACGCCAGCTAATGTAGTCAGGATAGGAAATCAGTTCCTGGATGACTGTTCCTTTCAGCATGATAAAACCAGGGAGAATTCTCATGACAACATCGTGCCGGATGCACGCCTCCAATCCAAGGCGCCGTTTGATCGCCAGTGAACTGCACCTATAACAACGTGGTGTACACGGAGGGCCAGACGTGGCCCGATGATCCGGTGTATCCCTGCAAGCGCTTCAAGTGCACCCGCTCGGGCACGGAGAAGGTGGAGGACCAGACGCCCCACTGCCGATCGCAGCCGCACCCCCGCTGCCAGGGACACCGCAAGCCACAACAGTGCTGCAAACACTGGGATTGCCCCCGTGAGTGTCCGCACTGCACACTCTCCGCACTCTGCACTCTGAGCCGGCAGCAGGTCCACCTGACTCCTCCTGTTTTGGTTACGAAGCTGAGGCCAAAAAAGGCCGCTTTGGTCTGCCGGTGGTCCAATGCGCATTCAACGTGCGGCATCAGTCGGATGAGGCGCGGCCTCGGTCATAGGAGGAGGTTATAGAGGAGGTCATAGGAGGTCACGGTGTCTCACCCCATTGCCAACATGGCGTATTTTCGTAAACGGGAAACAAAGCTGCGTGAGCCGACCAATACCAAGGCCGGGGCGGTCTCTCTTACCACTCAGCTGCGCGCTAACTGTCGAGGCATTTGCGTGAGCTGCGCGCGAATTTGCACGCACTCATAAGTAGAAATCCGTGACCAGGAGAACACATCGGTCCCCAGATACCAGAGTGGTCGAATCCGATGTGCCAAACAACACCACAAATCTGTCTGCAACCGGCTTGACGAGGTGTCACTATCGGTGACGTCATCACGGGCTTGTCAGCGGCGAAATGCATTCGTCTGCGGCGGGCGTGACGTCATATAGCTTGAGTGACGTCACATCACTGTCAGCGGCGTCATGCAACGCATCATTCGGCGGTGGGCGTCACGTCATAAGAACATACTTCACACGCGTGACGTGACGTAACAGTCAGTTGCAACCCATAGCTCAGTGACGTCACGCATCCGTCCGGGACGGGCGTGGAGCCTGTAATTGTTCGCGACGCACGCGTGTGACTCCGATGGTCGCCAGCCGTAACATGACGCCACTGCCTAAGACGTCACACCACTGTCCGTGACGCACGCCGGCAGAGTGCACGCAGGACGGCACGACTCACCCGGAGGGCGACGTCTGGTGGGACAACCCGGCTCGGCGCTGCGTGAAGTACACGTGCCGCCACGGCATCGTCCTCCAGCTGGACAACCTGCTGCCCTGCCAGGAGGTGCCCGACGGCTGCAGGCCCAACTTCAAAGGCACAGAGTGCTGCCACTTCAAGTACACCTGCCCCTTCTGCATGTTCGACCCGCTGGGGAATCTGATCCAGAAGGTCGGCACGTCTCTGGGCTAGCGGCCAGGCGGCGCGGTCCCAGGCGCCTCTCCGCCCTTGCCGCGCGTCCCACCGTCACCCCACGCCCGCGATCGGACGTCTGCTGGGCCGTGCGATCCCCTCCTCCACGACTGGTCAATCAAACCTGTTGTCGATGTGCGGCGACCAATGATCAGTCTCTGTCGTCGACGTTCAAGCAGATCTGGTGCGACTCTGTCAGTTAACTTCAAAGTCATGTTGCAAGCCGTGGGATAGTCGCCCTAACCGATGTTAAGACCGGTTGCGTCGCCAATTTTTGCATAAGGCTGTTGGCATTCCGGCAGTAGAGTGGGTTGTTTAAGAAAGCGTATCGATGGTGCACTACCTGATTAATGTGATATCTATGCACTCACCTTAAATATGTGTGTAATATCAATAACACGATGCATTTGGAATTCAGATGTTTGGTTTTGATGTCAAGCGACAGCCTCGTCAAACAAGCTTTTTTATTCATAGGAACTAACGCCTTGAAATCAGCGACAGTGTTCCTTGCTTCGTACCTTCAAGCATCGGGGTTCTCACAAACTTAATACAGGTGTTCTATTATACTCGCCGACCGATTTGACACGTGCGAACTGAAATATTTTCCCATGGCTGCTGAAGCTCCGCGGTTTACTGAAACCTACAAACACAGACGCCATGTGTCGCCTCTCGACATCCAAACGAAGAACGCCATTGATTTACCAGATCTAGCGCTCCTTTCCCACTTCATCATTTCTCTTCAACCATACACGATATGGATAATCACACCGGCGAGCAAAACATTACTTTTGCTTTATTTTTACATTGTTTTCGCTATTGCGTTCGAGCCGAATCTGGCCGATTTCAACCGTTGCATTTCTAGGAAGATCGCACCAGTCATACCAACGTGCCTCTCCTTTCTTCATATCGGAAGATATGGACGAGCTCGCTTCTTGCCAACCGAAGATTCCAGCACGGTGAACGAAGTTGAAGAAAAAGAAGAAGAAGGAGAAGGAAATGCAAACGTCAGCTTGATAGCCGCTCTATCCACCACTGCCGTAGGATATATTTTTCGTGTAACGCGCCCGCTGGAAGGCCTATTACGACTGCGTGCACTGAAAGGGAAGGGAGGGGAGCCGGCAAAAATCCATCCCAGGCGATCGCAGGTTGCTGGGGATGTCCAATCGCACCCTGAACGATTGGGCATCTCGCATTTGGGCATCCCCACTTGGGCATCCCCACTTAGCGCGTTAAAAAGCACTGTATTGCTATATACTTCGAGTATTTATAGAAATTCAATTCATCGTCGAAACCGAAGGCTGAAGTCTTTGGTTCCGACGATGTGCCGACGCTTTCTTTCGTCGTGAATAAAGCTTTCAAAAAAGAACGCAAAGCTCTTTTGAACTGATACCTTAATTTTATCTGATGGTGAAATAAATTGGGACCAGTTGACCAGTTCAAACAACCGTCCCTTTGGAGTGAGTGACAATGCGGTCTTGTTTGGGATAAGTTACGAACCGCTTGCTTGAATTTACAGTTGACCAAGAGACTTGGATTATTTACTTTATAGTTATATATTTCTTATTGACTTGTAATTTACATATTTGCGATTGTAAAGTTGTGAGTCCTCAAATGTCATCGGCGTTATCGGCGTTACGTTATGCACGACGGCTTTGAAAAAAACATCAACTTCGTATATAGTGCTCTATATTCGTCCCGCTAAGTATACTATGTATTCGCATTCGTGCGCTTGTGACGCCGGTTTTGTACGTTCTTTGAAAACGTAAATAGAACATCTTTTAATTGATTGAATGAATGATTCATCTGAAATATTAACTCAGGCTTACACATCATTCACTTTTAGTGATGGCTTCTGGCAAGCTCACGAAAAGGAATAGCACAATTCATGTGCAGCGTTTTTGAGCCTGCGCTTTTTGAGACATGACAAGGATACCAGCAAAAATTGGCTTTAGTCACAGCATGACATACAGTACATACAGACAGCGCATGCGCCTCCAACTGAGAACATCTATTAATTCCGCTGAAACCCAAGCGACCTGGTGGTAGATCGGTTCTGTAAGCCGTTGCATTCCATAACGTGCACGGTTTATATAGATAGATAGATAGATAGATAGATAGATAGATAGATAGATAGATAGATAGATAGGTAGATAGATAGATAGATAGATAGATAGATAGATAGATAGATATATATATATATATATATATATATATATATATATATATATATATATATATATATAAGATACATCTCTCTCTCTCTTCTCTCTCCTCTCTCCCTCTCTCTCTCTCTCTCTCTCCTCCTCCTCTCTCTCTCTCTCTCTCTCTCCCTCTCTCCTCTCTCCTCTCTCTCTCTCTCTCTCTCTCTCTCTCTCTCTCCCTCTCTCTCTCTCTCTCTCTCTCATCTCTCTCTCTCCTCTCTCTCTCCTCTCTCTCCTCTCTCTCTCTCTCTCTCTCTCCTCCTCTTCTCTCTCTCTCTCTCTCTCCTCCCCTCTCTCTCTCTCTCCTCTCTCTCTCTCTTCTCTCTCTCTCTCTCTCTCTCGCTCTCGCCGATAAAATCGGCGTCGCCTGCCTCTCACCCTGGCAGGAAGGGCGGGCACCGCGGGGAACCGAGCCCCGTGCCTTTGGTTTCCCAGACGCGCATTGGTTAACGCCGACGCGTTAACCACTACACTATCGGCACCCCGCCTTTCGCGGCGTCCCAACAAGTAAATTATATCGAAATTTGTCAATAACTTCACATCACGCGGCTGGCTGTTTTTGAACAAGTTACTTGCCCAAACGAGAGGCTGGAGGGTAGGCCGTGCGAACCCCTACCCCCTGCTGCGGTTTTCTTTGATACCAGTGCGACATATTGTGCAGCCGCGCTCAAATCTTTGGTAGCCTCTGGGGCATCCATTGCACGTGTGTTGACACCAAAAAAGCATTCCTAGCAATTCTGGTTTCAGAGTAGCGATGTTTTTTCCGAGCATTGGAAGACGACTCGAGGCCGGCGGGTGCGGCGGGCGGCAAACGACGATCCGGCGGACTGCGTGCGGAGGGGTGGCACCGTTACATGAACGACACCCAACATTATAAATATAGGCTTCAAACAAATACAACTACATGCCATTGTACTCATAATTATACATGGGACACGCCTTTTTGTGCTCCAAGTCACTACACTCCATGGTTTCGTATATATGAACGTGCAAAGCTGATGTTGGGTTTTCAGGAAAATTTGACCTTTGACTTGGTCTAGTGGAGTCAAATAACAACAGGAAAATGTTTACCAATTACGAGATCTCGTTAAGACAGTTCGCTGTTTCTTTGTTTTTTCAAGGCTTTACCTTTCTTAGTTGACAAAAGTCAGGGAGTCCCCTCCCCCAACAGTCCAGCGTTACGAAAACGGGCGAATCAGGGTAGGGGTTAAAATCGTTGACTGCCGTCTTTTTTTAGCTGATTTTTATATGCTGGCGTAAACACCTGCTCTTCAGACCCTGAAAACATCAACTGCTACAGCAGAATGACACATTTCATTACCAACGTTCAAACAATGGTTGATATTCAATGAGTAAGCGAAAATTGCCCTTAGCATGCAAGCAGCATGCAAATCTAAGGTTATCGGTGATGTTTGTCATGTATACTGATGTTAGGTTGGGCCCCTTTTCTCCCGAAACCAATATTTCTAGCCGGAAATAATCAAAAATATGTGTGAAAAAGCTAACTAATACAAAACCATCTCTTCTGGAACTAATTTATTGACCGTGATTCATGGGCTGCTACTACCCCCCCCCCCCCCCCAATCATGCATAAACAATTGTCACTTATCATTGTACCTTCACCGCACAAACTAAGTAGATTCCTCCTATCAACGTAGGCTGTATATAAGATAAGCTGTCTGCCTTCACAACGTGTACTTAAATGTATACAGTGATTATGCTAATGGTTCCATCACGACAATTTTGCAATTTAATGTTAGCAAAAACAGTAATGAAATATACCATATTTGCATCCATGTAATGCCATGCTCACAAGTGCAAATAAGATATGCATATGCATGAACAATGCAGAACGAATGACTTCCAGAGCTTTCCTATTAGGGCTAGTGTGCTATCACATTATGCTCAGAAACAACCAAATGCCAGCCTTTCACTGACCTCATAATACAGTTGGGTCACAATGCCATAAAACCCCTTGTTGTTTGAAGTAAAAATCCTGTTGACGAGGGAGATGGTAATGAAACCTGTACCCCCTTTTCATTACTAACATTTGCTACACTACTTTCATTGCCTTCCCATGGCCTACATCATTGGCTATCATATAAGTTTCCAGCAACAAAGATTCACGCTAGCAAAAGGTTGAGCAGTGATTGATTGTTCATTTGCGATAAAAACATCAATGAAATAATTTAATTTCAGGGAGTTTTTGAAAACAAGTTTGAGAGCGGTGACAAATCATGCAACGTACCCCAAAGGTACGTTGTACGTACCCCAACGTACCCCAAAGGTATGGATGTCTCCTAGATTGCCACACTTCTCCACAAACTTAGGGGGGAGGGATGGAGCCCTGAACTGAATGAAAAGTAGGAACAACCCTGATTTGGATATCTATGCGACTGGTGACCATTCTCAATCAAGACAAGAGCAAAAATGACGTAGATTGTCATCTCAACTATTATCACCCGCTGCTATCCCCTTCATGAGGACTGTCATCAGACTTCAACATTAACACGCGCTTGGGTCGGCGGGGGGGGGGCAAATTGACCCTCCCAAAAGTTTTCTCCAGAATAGTTTCCGAACGTCGCGGCGTAGCGGCGCCAAATTTTGCATAGCTGTAGACAATTGAATAGTAAGTCGTTTGACATCTCAAACCTAGATGTACCCTGTAATGTCGCTGACCTATGGCAGGTCAAAGTCAGGCCATAGTTTCAGCGAAGGCAATTTCTAGGGAATCGTCCAATCTGATACAATAACGAAGTGTTTGACGAAGCCATACATCTCTGAGATGCTTTCTTAGGCACCAAAAATATTGAATGAACAAATAACATTGACCTAAGGTCAGGTATAAAGGCGAGACCAAGGTCACAATCAACCCGATTTATTATTTTAGGGCTTGCTGTATGGGATAGTTTGTGGTGCTCATCTCAAA